GTGACACAATATGTGTTCTGCTGTTTCCTCTTCTTCGTAACAAAGTCTACAGCTATCGTCTCCAGTAATACCTAGATTCAATAAATGTTTTTTAACTCCGCAGTGTCCAGTTAGAAAACCTGTGACAAGTCGGATGCCACTTCTGTTCAGCATGAGTAGCTCCCTAGTTCTGGCTTTTGATCGAAACGGCATGGATTCTTTTGCTTGTCTGCAGGTAATTGTATTATCCCAATCATTCTGAGCTGCTTTTTCCAACCATTCATTAGTTTTAAGTTTGAAAAAGCTCCACGAAGGACCGCAGAATGGTTGTGGCCCAATATAGTATGAGGCCGCCCCTTTTCTCGCTAGTTCATCTGCTTTTTCGTTTCCCTCAAAACCGCTGTGCCCTGGAATCCATATTAAGTGGACTCTGTTCTTTTCAGCAAGGTCTTTGAGAAGTAGAAGGCATTCCCACACTATTTTTGAGGTTACTCGAGGTGAGCGTAGTGCCAGGAGTGCCGATTTACTGTCAGAAAAGATATATAGGTAAATATATATGTAAATGGTTATATACTATTGTTGTAATATAGTTTGAGTGTATTTTCTTTGTGTGTATTCTGTTTCGATTTCCTTTTATTAACATTAATTGCCGTTTAAAAATATTTAAAGGTTTTTCTAAAATGGGTATAAAATTTTCATTATCTTCATCTGCTGAATGAATTGTAGCAATATTTGATGAGATTTCATCTTCCTCATTGAGTTTGCAAGTTTCAATTTTAATTCTTGATAACGCGTCAGCTACTTTGTTTTCTTTACCCGGTATATATTTTATGTCGAAATCAAATTCATTTAATTTGATTTTCCATCTTTGTAATTTAGTATTGGGCTCTTTAAGATTATTGAGCCACTGCAAAGGCCTGTGATCACTATTTATTAAAACTTTTCGTCCATATAAGAAAGGTCTAAAATATTTTGTAGCCCATACTATGGTCAGTAATTCTTTTTCAGTTGCTGAGTAGTTTAATTCATGCTCATTTAGTGTACGGCTAGCGAAACAAATGGAATGACTTTGTTGGCTTAAAACAGCTCCTAAGGCTACGTCTGAAGCATCCGTAGTTAAGGTAAATAATTTCTCATAAATCGGGTATGCTAAAATTGGTTCTTTTGTGATTAATAGTTTAATGATTTCAATAGCATTAACATATTCCTTGTGTGTATGATTTATCTTATTACCTTTTTTTAGACATATTGTAAGTGGTTTTGTAATTTTAGAAAAGTCCTTAATAAATTTTCTATAGAACCCTGCTAAACCTAAAAATTGTTTGACTTGTTTTTCAGTTTTTGGTATTGGGTAATTCAATATATTTTTAATTTTGATTGGATTTGGTTTAATCCCCTTAGATGTAACTATATGTCCCAAAAATTCAGTTTCCCTTTTCAAGAATTCACTTTTATCGACTTGTATTTTTAAATTTGCTTCTGCTAATTTTTTTAAAACTTTGTGTAATGATTGAATGTGTTCTTGAAGCGATGTGCTATATATTATTATGTCATCTAAATAGACCATACAATGCTTTCCGACTAAATCTCCTAAGATCGTATTCATCAATCTTTGAAAGGTTGCGGGTGCATTTTTTAAACCAAAGGGCATTCTCATAAATTCGTAATGCCCATTCTGTGTGGAAAATGCTGTCTTCTTTTGATCGATTGGATCCATTTCAATTTGATGGAATCCTTTAGTTAAATCGATAATAGAGAAATACATACATCTACCAAGTTTGTCTAATATTTCATCTATATTTGGGATGGGATATTTGTCATTTATGGTGATATCATTTAACTTACGATAATCTATGACAATTCTCCAATTTCTTTCCCCTGAAGCATCCTGTTTTTTTGGAACAACCCAAATAGGTGCAGAATATGGTGATTGGCTATGACAAATAATCTTTTGATCTAACATTTCTTTTATCTGTTTGTCCACTTCGTTTTTGTGGACTTGAGGATATCTATATGATTTAGTATAAATCGGGTCTTCATGTACTGTTTTAATTTTGTGTTTAATTGCGTTAGTGAAACTCAAACTATCTCCTTCCCTATAAAATAAATTGTCATATTTTTTCAAGACCTTTTTTAATTCTGTTTTTTCCTCTTGATTCAAATGATTTAGTCTGAATTGTATATTGTTATCATTTAAATTAACATTTAATTCCTCTTTTGCATTTTTAAATTTTTTATTTAGAAATTTATATGTAAAATTATTTAACTTAATTGTTTTGTTTGCCAAATCGATTTTCGCTTTTAATTGTTGTAAACAGTCATACCCTAATAAACCATCATAGTTATCTGAGAAATTAAATACAAAAAGTCTTAATGGATTGTTATGAATGGGATCAAAAATTTCTTGGATTTTATTTAGAGTAATTTTTCCGGTTGTCGTCCTTAAGGTTATTGGGTTAACAATTTTAATTTCTTTTTGAAGTATATTTGTCTTTATTAAACTTACTGAAGAGCCAGTATCAATTAAAAAGTTGTAATTTTTACTATTGATTTTTAATTCAATTGATGGTAATTCTCCGAGGCCATTACGTGAAAATTTGGCGTATCTATATCCATTGGTTTAGGTTCTCCGTATCTTCTAATACGAGACTGATTTGAATCATTTTCCCTTTGTCTTTTAAAGGGTTGATAACGTTTAGTGTTATGATTATTTTGAAACTTTTGGGTTTGGGAATTATTAGTATTATTAGGGGGATTGTTTAAGTTTGGATTAAAAAATTGATTATTATTATATTGTTGATTAAAGTTATTATTAAAGCTATTATGCGGTGTATAGAGTTGATTATTATTATTATTGTTATTATGATAAAATGGTTTATTATGTTGTTGATTATTATAAAGAGGGTTGTTATAATAGGGTCTTTGGATGGGTGGATTATACATTGGTGTTAATCGCCTATTAGATATTACTGTATTTCTATACTCATTACTCATGACATATTCTATACTCATGACAGATGGACGATAACGAACTTGTGATTTTCGGTAAATTTCATAATTTTGATTCATATTTTCAGAATTTTCGTACTCGTTATTTTTTCGTAAAATTTTTATTGCTGATCTAATATCAGTTACTAATGAAGCATTTAGAAGACTTGTTAAATGGTTTGGCAACTCTTTTTTTAAAATGTACAAAGTAGTCTGTTTTAAATTTTGTAAATAGAAAATTACTGAGTTTAATTTTATCTTTAATTCTACAAATTTCATCATTTAACTCTTCACATAGATGTTTTACAATATTTTTATATTTAACATTATTTATGTTTATTATTAATGTAGAAACCGTTTTATGCTCACCAAACTCCTCAATTAATACTTCCTTCAAATCGTTCCAGTTGGTTGGCTGCTCTCTCCGTATTACATTTAAAGCGGCACCTGTTATTGTCTTCAATATACAGTTGAAATAAACTGCTCTATCTGCTGTCGATAGAGTGGCTATAGTTGGCACTATGGATTCAATATTGCCGATATACAGGGCAAGTTTTTCCAGTTGCTATCAAATGGTTCAATATATTTTAGATTTTGTAAGATGAATTCTTTTTTCTCCCGAGCTTCCATGTTAGTATTTGAGTTATTATTTCTGTTTATTGTTAAATTATTAACTAGTTCGTTTATTACGTTCACTTCTTCATTCATAATCTAGAGTCTTGAATTTGAATTTGAAGTTCACAACGTTCTTTTAAAAATTTTATTTATTTCTGCTCACAATTTACAAAAAAAAATTTTATAAACAAATTTATTTATTTATTTATTTTGTTTTTTTTTTTTTTTTTTTTTTTAACGTAAGTTCGTTTAACTTTACTTTAACTTTATTAACTTTCTTTTATATATATTTTTATTTAAAAAATTTTTTTAAAGTTTATATATTTTTTCTTTTAACGTAAGTTCGTTTAACTTTACTTTAACTTTATTAACTTTCTTTTATATATATTTTTATTTAAAAAATTTGTTTAAAGTTTATATATTTTTTTTTTAACGTAAGTTCGTTTAACTTTACTTTAACTTTATTAACTTTATTTTATATATATTTTCATTTAAAATTTTTTAAAGTTTATATATTTTTTTTTTTAACGTAAGTTCGTTTAACTTTACTTTAACTTTACTTTAACGCCACATAATGAAGCTTTTATTAATTTTTTTTTTTAATTATAAATGATAAAACGCACAGCACTGTAATTCCTTTTTAAATGATTTGGTTTTTTATAAGTATATGTATATATTATTTTTTTTATTAAAGTTTAAATATAATATAAGTGGGCTTCCTTGAGATTTAACTTGATACAAATGTTAATTTAGTAATTAGTGCCCTTATCATTCTCTCAGCATTTTCGTCGTATATTTTATATAGTTTGTTCATCACTGTTCTATCTTATTTCTAAATCAAAGACTGATTAATTCTCATTAAAAATATGTTTGAAAAATATCTTTGAAATGTGTTTGTTTATATTATTAATTAATAATTAAAAAATTGATTTCATCACCTGTGATTTGACTCAATAATTTTTATTAACTTAGGAAAACTTTTGGAATCTCGTTAAAAACTCTTTTAGAAGTATTTGAAAATAAAAAATTTAACGTTTACCTCACAAAAATATTAACATTTTAATTCTGATTTGAATTTATCATTACACTTTCCTTTAAAATCAAAATTTTCAGAACAATATTATTTTTAAAAGCGTTTTTAATAAAGAATTTGACTTGCACTTCACATGTGACGCATACACAGTAAATTTCAACTAAATTAAATTTTAAAAAATATGTTTAATTTTACTTAAAAACAAATTCTTTAGGAAATATTATTTTTAGAAGTATTTTTAAAAACATTAATTAATAGCGAGATCAGTAATAAAAACAAACAATATTGTAGCATATTTTTAGGAGCTGCATTCAACGAGAATATAATTTGTTATAATGTGTCCGATTAATACCAACCTAAAAAATTAATTTTAAAGTAAACTTGCATTTTATCCCATTCTACTCCCATAGTCCTATATATCTGTTGATATACATATAATTGATCTTGAACTTGCATATCTGTATGAGTTGGTAATTTGACATAACGTGTCAAACCATTATGCTGGTATAATCCCATATGTTTGGATATAGGTGAATGTGGATCACGCTGCACATCCTCTACAATTTCACTTGGATTACCTTTACCTGTACAAAAGAAACCTACTCCGCAAACTTGGCAATTAACCATTAAGATATGTTGTTATGGTGTTACACTTGAGGAAGTTGAAGATATTGAACGCAATGACATATTTAATAATGTAAATAAGGTTTCTGAACGTGTAAATGGCTGCATTATATCTTGGAAAGTATTTGTTGTCTGGGTTAAAACCTTTGATATTTCATCGCAACTGTAAACAAGACTTCTCCTATATCTTCGTGGACGTGGATGCTTATCATGTAAACCTGGATAATTAGTTGCAGGAAGATATTTTTGTAATATTAAATAACGTGCGTAAGTAGGTTTCTGGATATATTTTGAGTTTTGATGCATATAGGTGTTTAATAAATGATATAAAATTTCCTGTACCATTACATAGGGATATCCATTTATTAATATTTGTGTAATACAATTATACAAATCATGTTCTAAATATTCCAAACTAGTCCTATAAATAACTCGATGTAAATAGTAAAGTATTGTAGATTTTTTCACTTGATAAGATATGTGCGATGTATAATGCAGCATCCTCATAGACTGTTGTTTTTTATAATATAAAGACATGAGATAACCAGTTGGCGTATGTATAATATTATAATCCAAATATGAGATTGTTGGATAATTATTAAAGTTTGGATTTGCGGACTCCACTTCGTATGTCACATCATATCCGACTAATTCCTGAAAGGTTTCAACGAAAGATGGTATATCATGTTGTGAGATATATAACAGAACATCGTCTACATATTTCCACCAGGAATGAATTTTATGCTGATGAAACAGAGCCGGTGTATGGATCTCAATTTGGGAATCTAAATATATTGTTGCAAGTGGCCCCGACGCAGCACCCCTCTGAGGCAAACCTTCTGTTTGCAAATAGCATTTATTTTCAAATGTGAAGTAATTTCTAATATTCAGTATATACTCTAACGCCATGGTCAACATTAATATTGGAATTGGACAGGATTCAAGAAACCAAGGTAGACACATTAAGTTTTTCAGGGTGCGCCAGAGGGATGCTACATTTGTACTTGGATACATATCTTTTATAACCATTGACATAAAAACATAATCTGGTAATGGTTGGAGTGAAATCAAATAACCGGTTAGATAACTCATGTTTTTCAAATTATGTTTAGACATACGATCTGATAAAGTTTCTTTCAATACATGCTGCACCAATTGATGAAGAGGATGAATGTACCAATTCAAAGGACTACAGATTGGTCGTAGTGGTTGATCTGGTTTATGTAATTTTAACATAAAAAAAGTGGGATTGCAATTGGATATCATACGCTGTAAACTCAGTAGAATGTTTTTCGGAAAAGATGTTGGTTCCTTTTCATGCCATTGACAGAGAGGCCTTACTATTCTTCGGAAATGTGCTGTTAGACGATTAAATAGAGCTTGTTGATTCCCTGAGAATAACACATAAGAACCTTTTTCTAAATTTTGATCTATCCATATATTCATTTTTCGTATGTAGTCAATTTTTTTCATTAAACATGTAGAATGTCCTTTGTCAGCTTGTACAATTATAAGATCTTTTTGTTTTTTAATATACTCGGATGCATATGCATACATTTGAAATAATATCTGATGAGTTCGATTTGGTTTTTGGTATTTTGTCATAATTTCCAAAAACTGGGAAAATTGTTTTTGCATCTCTAAAGGACTTTGATAATCTAATATTATACATTGTTCTTGATGTATCTCATTATAGCTATTTAAAGCCACAAAATAATCATTAATATTTGGAACCTTTATAGGACTATATTTAGGCCCAAAACTCAACAATATTTGAAGCTCTTTTGGTACTCGTCGACCACTTATATTAAGAAATCCACCGGGTATCATTTTTGGATATAATGTTGCATAAAGTATATTTTGTGGCAACTGAGTACCATAAAAATTACATAGATTAGTTTCTGTTATTTTGACTTTATACAGATTCATTGGTACAATAGAAGTTTCATTAGAAGTGACTATAGCAGATGGAACTATGTTAGAAGTGGTTTTTGAAACATTTGGTAATATTGTTATGCTGGATGAATTTTTAATCTGATTGATACCTGCACATTCTTTATAGATAAGGAAAGTTTTTCAAATTAATTAATAAAGCCAAAAATGGTATTTAATATGCAATAGAGTTATACGGATATTAGAAATATTATAAAGATTAAATTTAATATTGCATGCAAAAAATCATATATATTGTATATATGTAAAATAATCATATATTGTATCGTATATATTGTGTTGTTTGTATATAATGTAAATATAAAATAATTATACCTTGTTCTATATTTGAATTTATATGAGAAGTTTTTGACATAGCATTATTCACTGAGTTGGCTGAGGTTATATCTATGTGTTTATCTGTATTTTTCTGTGGGTATATATCCATAGTGACAAGCTTTGTTGTGGTACATGCAGGAATATTTTGAATAGCTGTAATGCAATATTAATTATTAGCAGTTAAACAGTTAGTAATAAGTTTCATATTTACAATTTGTATTCATAGTTGAGGTATGATCTATAGATGATATAGCAGAAGATGAATTTGCCTTGGAAGGTTGTCCAGCATCCGGTTGAATATTAGATACACCACAACATATTGATGTTGTTGGCTGTGTATGCAGTTGTTTTTGTACCACATTCACATTTTCTTCTACTTTATTAGTAGATTTAATAATATGTCTATATTCAATTTGTTCTTTTGTTTGTTGAGAACCCACAGATGCAGAAAAATTAGAAGTTGCTAAAGAACCTATTTGGTTAGGTGAATGGAAGTCCATAAGTGCAGGCAAATTACATCCTAATAAGTTTGATTGATTCATGTTCAAGAATACAGGTTAAGTAGAGTTTGTTAAATTTGGTTGAGATGAATCCACTTGTGCAGGCAAATTAGAGCTTGACATTATAAATTGTGTAGAAATATCAGAGCTTACTATTTGGAGTTGTGACGAAATATCGGATACTGCTAAGTCAGAATGATTAATGTCTGTTGATGCAGGCAAATCAGAGCTTACTAATTTAGCACAATTAATCATAGGATATAAAGGATATGATGTTGATCCTGGTACGTCGGTTAATGGATTTTGAATGTCTAATACAAAAATTTAAAATTTGAGAAAAGAATTTTTTTGATTTTAGGATTTAATGTTTTTAAAGTTTTTTTAAAGGTTTTTGAATTTTAAATTTTAGTGTCCTTTTTTAAAAATTTTTTTAAAGTTTGATTTGGAGGATTTTTTTAAATTTTATATATATATATATGTATAAAAAATATATATATAAAAACTAATATATTTATATACTCACTAACTACAGGAATTTGTACAGAATTTACTAGTGGATATTCGTTTATGGAATTAGGCTCCATATGTTGTGCACTAGAATTTGATTCTATCTCTTGCATCATTGTTGTTAAGATGCTATCGTCCATTGATACATTCATATGAGACCTTTAATAATTTGAACTTATAGAAATATATAGATAAAATTTCAAAAAATAACAAATTTATTTTGAATTTATATAAAATTTTAAAGAAGAAGCATGCTATTTAAATATAATAATGTTCATGCCATTTTAAATATGATTACAGTATTATATTGTAGATAATTAATATCAATATATTAAGAATTACATATCAATTATTTAATTATATATTATTTGTTATTTAAAAAAATTTATATTTTATTTACTTAATTACTTATATATTATTTATTATTAACTATATTTTACATATATTACTTTATATTTAATTATTTATATATTAACAATTACACTTGAACATTAAAATTTTATGAATAAACTACAATTGGATGATATAAAACACAACGTCTGACATATGACCATACATATATAAATAATTTATCCATTCTGATGAGTCCGGTTGGTAACCGGACGAAACGCGTCAATGGAAACCAAAAACTAGGATACTTTGTTGGTACACCAACACATAGAATTTTCCCACTACAGATAAGATGGACGAATTTATTATTTGACTAGAATTGACGGGTTTATGGATAACAAAATATTTTACACACATATATATTTATAGGTTAATTTAATCATGTAATTACTTATTGTTTTAATAGTTTATTTAATTAATATTTGCTACATATGTTATTATATAGAATGTATGCTATACGTACATTTATGTAATTAATTGGATATATGTGATAATGAATAATATTTATTTTGTTAAAGATAATATTTTATATATTTAATTTATTTGTAATAAATTTATTAATTATGTTTATTATGATTATTGATAAAATTTCAGATAGAATTTATAGTATGTTAAGAAATTAATTCCATCAAGATATATCTGGGAGTGTTTATTAATAAAAAAATGCATTTAAATGCAATTTTTCGGGTGTAGATATGGGGATGCTTGTTTTTGATGTGAATATCGTTATATTATTTACATTTGGGATGGGTATTGCTATATTTGCACCTATTTTTTTTTTTTTTTTTTTTTTTTTTGCGGCAAGGAGGTGTGGAATGCCTACGCACTGACCACCTTCCGGCGCCCCGCAAGGTGAGTGACCGACTCGCACGGGCTAAACCACTCCCCCTCATTCCTAGAGACCTTGTTCTACCCCGGGACTACGTTAGTATTACTTCGAGGTAGGGTCCCTATTAGTCATTTAAGACTTCCATCGGTGTGCCCTGCGTCCAGGCTCCGCTACTGTTGCAGATAATTAATCTTGCCCTACAGTCTACTTTTTCCAATCTCAGAGTATGTGTTCCGGCTCTCATTCGTGCTCTTCGTTTAAGATTAGATTGCGTCCAGATCTTTCTTCTTTTCTCTTAGAACATTTCCGATGAATTGCGTGATTTTGTTCCAATTTTCTGCTCGTTCTATCATTTTTTCTACAATATTTTCTACTGTAAAATGACCTATATATCCTGCAAGAAGTGTTCTTTCTCTACGCCAACTTTCGCAGTTGAAGAAAGTATGCTCAGCATTGTCCTATATTTGCACCTATGGGCCTAATATGTTTGACGGAATGTTGAACAATTTGGGTATTTATATAAAATTTCTGCATTATGTATATGCATGATGTAGGAAAATTATATATTCACATTTATATATTTCATTCGTGAGAAATATAAAAAATAAATGTATATTTTTAATAGTTTATTTTTCAAAATTTTATATATCTGTAATTTAATGCGTGTATATGTAATATGAGGAATGCATATTACCTTATTTTCACAAAATACTATTAAAATAATATTATACTAAGAAAAATATTTTTTAAGTAAAATAAGTAATTATTTAATTAGAAATTAATATTTGTGATTGAATAAAAATAAGAAAGCGAAGTTCACCATATGAGTATTCAGTCGATACTGATTTTATTTTAAAAAGTATGCTGTGTTTATACAAAAATAATCTTAAAACTAACTTAACTAATTTACAATATTTATTACCTGTTATAGCTTGTTTGAGTGGACTGTATTGCATTACAAAAAAAGGATACAATAAAATCTCGGCACGTAGGATTTTTATTATTTTACAAATATATTTTTATTATCGATACGGTGCCGTATCGACCATCGGTGGACCATCTTCATCCAAGCCAACCAGCGCTGAATGTTAACTCGCTCAATTAACATAAATATCGTAATAAAGCTTGTACAGCTCATATAGCTCATTCGTATACGGTAGCCGTCGCTAATTCGAAAAGCACCCAAGATCTTACGAAGAAATTTTCTCTCGAAAAATTAAAATTTTAAAAATTAACGTTTATTTGTAACACCTATTTGTAAGAGGTGTCTTCAACTACCTTCACAATGCAAATAATTTTGTCATTATCATTTACAGAGTCTGGGATATGGATGTTAAAATTGACTTAAAATCCTCAGTTCTCAATTATTGAAAGAAATGAATAAATAAATTATCTTTTTCTTCTTGTCAACTAGTCACGACTTTCACCCGTTATTCTAAGGAAAGTAAAAATTTCAAACATCATTTAATTGGTGGCGTGACCATGTCTTGGATGCTGTCCTGGATTAAATTACAGATTATCTTTTTTGTTTTGTATTGTGAATCACGTTTTCAGTCTGACTCATTCACGTAAATAGTTTTGGAGGGATAGTACTTGCTCCATGGTACAAATTGCGCCTTCTGTTATTTGGTTCAAGAGACTCAACTTTACCTCCATAGTAGTGTTGAGTTTACCATCTTTTTCAAAAAAGTTTTTTAAGCAAGATAGTTGTTCTTCATCAATTGATAGTAATCGACTTTGTTCATCGGCTACTGATGGGAATGGCCGTTTTGAATTAGACAGGTTATGTGTTGTTGAGTACACACCAGTTGAGCTACCGTTTCTATTAAATTCGCAAATATCTTCTGGTCTATCCTTGCTAGACGTTTCACTTTTTTTCTGCATATTTATATAAGGTTCTGTACGAGTCTTTTCTTGTGCACTACGGGCATTTAGTAGTTCAACCTTTAGGGTGCGCCCGTTGCCTTGCTCAATTTACATGGTAAGATGCATTTAAATGCCTTGAATCCGAATCGTGTGATCTCTCCTTTCATGGCGGCGATCCATATTTCTACTATGACTGCTAAATTTTAATAATATCGTTAACTCGCCCAAGCTGCATGTGATCAACTGTACTGCAATTTCTATAGTATCAGTACTACACAACTTTGTATTGGGGAATATGGGAAATCAACAAACAATCTGTTATAGCTCTAAACTGTCACGATGATATCTATCACTATATTCAAGTTTCAAGTAAAACATCATTAAAGCGTACCGGTGGGCATATATTTCTTCTTGTTGTAAAAGTTATTTGTGAAGACTGGAACTCATTCGCTTTTATTCTCCAGGTTTTAAACCATTGGAAAATGTCAATTAGCGCTCGCTGTAGTTTATTGGATGCTAACTGGTGATTTTCATCAGTAGCAACTAGCTCAGTACCATCGGCAAAAGTTTTAATGTCAGTACCAACGGTAGTTGGCAAGTCACTTGTAAAGAGTTTGTATAATATAGGTCCCAAAACACTGCCTTATGGCATTTCAGCCTAAACTGGCTGCAATGTTGAAATTTCTTCTCCCTGTTTTACAAAGAAGTGTACTTCCTTTTGTCAAATGCTAATATTAACTCATGTACTTGATCCATTATACTATGCTTTCTTCTAAAACCAAACTGATATTTCGGAATAAGTCTCTTTATATTGACAATGACCAATAATCTGGTAGAAGACCGATTGATTTATATGACTTAACATCTTAGGCCGTTTTTCCCGGTTTGAGTTTCGCAGTAGTAATATTGCTTGTTCCGGTAACTTCTTCAATATTTTTGGAGTAATTAAGGTATAACCGGGTTCTTTATTGATTTCAAGTTTTTTAATTTCACCTTTTATGCCGAAAATCGAACATTTTCGTTTCGAAAGGTCCAGTTGGTGCATTTGCTGTAATACCACTCTAATTTCTTCAGTTATACACTTTGGAACTTCATTAATGTTTGGAATAAAAACTGTAGACAGATGGTCCGTAAATACTTTGCATTTTTCTGTATCTGTTTGGGCCTATTGTCCAAGTTTTTTTTTTTACTGGTGGGTTGTGCGTTGATGCTGTTGTTTTGATTGCTCACCAGGGTGAGTAGTTAGTCGAAGTAGTTGCGTCTAGTCGGTGAATAATTCTTTGTATTTTTAAATTTCTAGTTGCTTGCAGATGATCTTTTAGATATTTGATCAGCACATTGAAAAGTTTTACAGATTTGGTTTATTGCCAGCGCCTTCTCGCTGCTCTTTTCGCTCTAATAAGTTCTTGAGTCGTGCTATGTAATGGTGTAGCGAGTTTCTACATGTTTGGAGGCATGGATATCAAGGCTGATTGCTGGATACTTGCAAATGTTCGGTTGCAAATGTAATTTTTTCGTCTGTTTTAAGGGCTATATTTACATCTAGTAATGACTTAGGAGTGTACCTTAAGGCATCCCAGTTGGTTGATTTGTTATGCAGATAGCATTTTTGAATTTTAAGTTGCATATTCGATTTTATCCGTACAGAAACTAACGAGTGGTCTGTCGAAAGATCAAAGCTAGATGTACAGGATCTGTCTTTTTGTTGCAATACTTTATTAACACAGA